CGGACGGCTCATTGAAATGCTGGGAATTATCTCAAATCTAACTGGAAGATTCGTTAGGAATATCAGACGTATTCAATTTAACGAAGTGATGGTCTTACTTTACTTCCACCAGCGGATAGTTGTAAGGCTAGAGTGTTATCAGCCGGATGACATGATCGTCCAGGCCTTCGTCCCATATAGCAAGGCGGGAACGGTGAACGGTTAAATAAGGCTACGCACGGGCTTATCACAAAGGTATTAACAGTCTCAATTTTTTCAATGGAACTTAGTACCCAACGCGTTTTGGAAGTAAATGAGAATTTCTACTTTTTGTGTTTTTGCATTTCGAATATTTCAATTTGATATATTTTTTTGGCATCTTCCTTTTCACACTTCTATATCCGTTTCAAAATCTCCAAAAGCCAACACTTTCATTGCCAAAACAAACAAAATAATTCCGAGTTGAGCTTAAGATATTTGCATACACATACATATACATGTACATGGCAAGGCTATATGGTATGTGCGCACATATACTCGTATCGCCAACTAATACTTGTTGGTACGTTCATTCGAGCAGCTGAGTCGCCAAAAAAGACAGACTGCCAAGCTTCTAATGGCTTCCTAAAGAACATTTACCCGACTTAGTCAACCAAAAACCGTAGAAAAATAAAAATAGAATATGAAGTAGTTAGCGAAGGCGACGCAAAAAAATGCCAACATGAACAAGAACCATTCATTAGCAGCAGCAGCAGCAGCAGCATCATCCAGCCGCCACACAACAACAAGTGTTTAAGCTAACAAAGGAGCAGACACAATAGAAATAAAAGATGCACAAAATCGCTAGCATTAACCGCCATGTCAGCCCGGCGATGGTGGTTGATAAAATAAAAAAAATAAAAATAAAAAAATCAACAACAAAAAAATCTTCTAGAACGAGACCAAAAAAAAAAACGAAGTAAAGAAGTATGAAGTTGCCGCACGTTAGAGTGGACCAGCGTCGCCGTCTATTCCTGTAGCTGTACTTTTGGGATTTCATTTTATTTTAACTCCTTCAATGTTTTCATTAACAGCAACAACATCAAAGTAGTTTTCTTTTTTCTTTTTGCTATAATTTAGTTGTTAAATTTGAAGCATATATTTCAGAGATGGCTCAAATAGTGTGGTAGAGAGCTCGAAGGCTAAAAAAAAATAGTATAAAATATAATAAACATTTAAAGCAACAATTTAAGTGCTCTTTTTTTCAACTTTGCCTGATTTTTTCGCAAAATGTTGGCAACATTTAATTAGGCTGTCTGGCCTTGTGATTATAGTTTAGAAAATCGAGGGCGAAAAAACGGCAAACGAACAGGTATTTTGCTTTGAAATTTATGCAAGAAACAACATACATGTTGAGGTAAATTATTTGGGCTAGAAGCCAGTGTGAATTGATGTGCCTTTATATATGTAAGTGTGTGCTTGCAAGCTCATGATCATACATATATGGATATAAGAGTGCTATGAACTATCGATTAAAGGACTTAAGAAGCGAACTTCATTAATGCAAAACTGTTAAAAATAATTCTTAATCTTTTGTTGATTTTCAAAATACTCTTTCAAAACATGAAGGCAAGGATTTATCTTGAAAAAAAAAATCTTTAAGCGAATTTTTAGATTCTGATTCCAATATCTACTTTAGTCGTTTATTTTACTTTATTTAACTTAATTCAGTTGCATATTAATTTATTTCTTTAACTTTAAGTTAAATAAAATTTGAGTTAGCTTAACACAAAATATATAAATATTATTTGCGCTTTGTAACCGCTGAACCGATTTTCTGCCGAGCTTCTACTCCAATTTGTTTTGATGGATTGATGGATGTTTGACTTTTGAGCTATTCCTTCATCAACTGAATGAAATAAAATAAAATAAAATAAAATAAAATAAAATAAAATAAAATAAAATAAAATAAAATAAAATAAAATAAAATAAAATANGAAATGAAATGAAATGAAATGAAATGAAATGAAATGAAATGAAATGAAATGAAATGAAATGAAATGAAATGAAATGAAATGAAATGAAATGAAATGAAATGAAATGAAATGAAATGAAATGAAATGAAATGAAATGAAATGAAATGAAATGAAATGAAATGAAATGAAATGAAATGAAATGAAATGAAATGAAATGAAATGAAATGAAATGAAATGAAATGAAATGAAATGAAATGAAATGAAATGAAATGAAATGAAATGAAATGAAATGAAATGAAATGAAATGAAATGAAATGAAATGAAATGAAATGAAATGAAATGAAATGAAATGAAATGAAATGAAATGAAATGAAATGAAATGAAATGAAATGAAATGAAATGAAATGAAATGAAATGAAATGAAATGAAATGAAATGAAATGAAATGAAATGAAATGAAATGAAATGAAATGAAATGAAATGAAATGAAATGAAATGAAATGAAATGAAATGAAATGAAATGAAATGAAATGAAATGAAATGAAATGAAATGAAATGAAATGAAATGAAATGAAATGAAATGAAATGAAATGAAATGAAATGAAATGAAATGAAATGAAATGAAATGAAATGAAATGAAATGAAATGAAATGAAATGAAATGAAATGAAATGAAATGAAATGAAATGAAATGAAATGAAATGAAATGAAATGAAATGAAATGAAATGAAATGAAATGAAATGAAATGAAATGAAATGAAATGAAATGAAATGAAATGAAATGAAATGAAATGAAATGAAATGAAATGAAATGAAATGAAATGAAATGAAATGAAATGAAATGAAATGAAATGAAATGAAATGAAATGAAATGAAATGAAATGAAATGAAATGAAATGAAATGAAATGAAATGAAATGAAATGAAATGAAATGAAATGAAATGAAATGAAATGAAATGAAATGAAATGAAATGAAATGAAATGAAATGAAATGAAATGAAATGAAATGAAATGAAATGAAATGAAATGAAATGAAATGAAATGAAATGAAATGAAATGAAATGAAATGAAATGAAATGAAATGAAATGAAATGAAATGAAATGAAATGAAATGAAATGAAATGAAATGAAATGAAATGAAATGAAATGAAATGAAATGAAATGAAATGAAATGAAATGAAATGAAATGAAATGAAATGAAATGAAATGAAATGAAATGAAATGAAATGAAATGAAATGAAATGAAATGAAATGAAATGAAATGAAATGAAATGAAATGAAATGAAATGAAATGAAATGAAATGAAATGAAATGAAATGAAATGAAATGAAATGAAATGAAATGAAATGAAATGAAATGAAATGAAATGAAATGAAATGAAATGAAATGAAATGAAATGAAATGAAATGAAATGAAATGAAATGAAATGAAATGAAATGAAATGAAATGAAATGAAATGAAATGAAATGAAATGAAATGAAATGAAATGAAATGAAATGAAATGAAATGAAATGAAATGAAATGAAATGAAATGAAATGAAATGAAATGAAATGAAATGAAATGAAATGAAATGAAATGAAATGAAATGAAATGAAATGAAATGAAATGAAATGAAATGAAATGAAATGAAATGAAATGAAATGAAATGAAATGAAATGAAATGAAATGAAATGAAATGAAATGAAATGAAATGAAATGAAATGAAATGAAATGAAATGAAATGAAATGAAATGAAATGAAATGAAATGAAATGAAATGAAATGAAATGAAATGAAATGAAATGAAATGAAATGAAATGAAATGAAATGAAATGAAATGAAATGAAATGAAATGAAATGAAATGAAATGAAATGAAATGAAATGAAATGAAATGAAATGAAATGAAATGAAATGAAATGAAATGAAATGAAATGAAATGAAATGAAATGAAATGAAATGAAATGAAATGAAATGAAATGAAATGAAATGAAATGAAATGAAATGAAATGAAATGAAATGAAATGAAATGAAATGAAATGAAATGAAATGAAATGAAATGAAATGAAATGAAATGAAATGAAATGAAATGAAATGAAATGAAATGAAATGAAATGAAATGAAATGAAATGAAATGAAATGAAATGAAATGAAATGAAATGAAATGAAATGAAATGAAATGAAATGAAATGAAATGAAATGAAATGAAATGAAATGAAATGAAATGAAATGAAATGAAATGAAATGAAATGAAATGAAATGAAATGAAATGAAATGAAATGAAATGAAATGAAATGAAATGAAATGAAATGAAATGAAATGAAATGAAATGAAATGAAATGAAATGAAATGAAATGAAATGAAATGAAATGAAATGAAATGAAATGAAATGAAATGAAATGAAATGAAATGAAATGAAATGAAATGAAATGAAATGAAATGAAATGAAATGAAATGAAATGAAATGAAATGAAATGAAATGAAATGAAATGAAATGAAATGAAATGAAATGAAATGAAATGAAATGAAATGAAATGAAATGAAATGAAATGAAATGAAATGAAATGAAATGAAAAAATGAAATGAAATGAAATGAAATGAAATGAAATGAAATGAAATGAAATAAAATAAAATAAAAAAATACAAAAATATAAATGAAATGAAATGAAATGAAATGAAATCAAATCAAATCAAATGAAATCAAATGAAATGAAATGAAATGAAATCAAATGAAATGAAATGAAATGAAATAAAATAAAATAAAAAAATACAAAAAAATAAATGAAATAAAATAAAGTAAAGTAAAACAAATTAATAAAAAATTTAGATTAAAAAATAAAATAAAATAATGAAATTAAGTTTAAAATACAATAAAAGATTAATATAAAGAGTTGAACATATTTTTTCCTAATTTTTTTTTGTTTTTTTACATATATAAATTTGGAGCTAAACGTGCCAAACGGTTGTTTAGCGTTAGTGTATCGCGCACAAAACGAGCTTATAAAATCAAAAATTCTTTATATTTTTTATTATATTTTAAATTTATACTTCCAAACCTTCATATCTGCTTTTCTCACTTTTTTATTTTCAGATTTTTCAAACTGGCCATATGAATGGTGATTTGCGTCGATTTGTTAGGGACCCTGTCACCAGCGTCCAACGTTCCGTTGCTGATGCGAGTGCTAAGTGCAAAAAAGTGTTAATTTCGAGCAGCAGCAACGACAGCAGCAAGAAAAGTTGTTGCAAAATATAACTAATTACAAAAAGAACAAGTGAAAAGTGAAAATCAAATACTTCTTGCTCACACATTTCCCTTTGAGCTGACGGACGACGGCTATACGCTCATCATCATAAATTACCCAAAGTATATTTACGAGTATTCATATATATATATATATTAAATACATATATACAAGTGTAAGAGTAGTGCAACATACATATGTACATAAGTGTTTGTGCAGGTGTTTGTGAATAATTTTATGTGTATATTATATATATGTGAATTTGTTGTGCGTATGTTTGTATGTATTGAGGCATCATGAAAATGTCTGAGGCACAACGGACGGGTATAAAATGAAACCAATTGCCAGAACTCATCGCGTTGGGTACACTAATGGCTGCAAGTTGGCGAATTCCACAGCGAATAGAAACAGAGGAGCAGCAACAATAACAATAAGAACAAAAATAAATGAAGCAGCAGCAACAGCAATAGCAACTAAGTGTTTACAACAAAAGCAAAAACTCGATCGAATTCCAGAAGGTGCAAACAACAATCAAGAAAACCAAAGTACAGCGACTAATAGTGCAGCGACACAGAGGCGCAGTGCACAACGACAACGAAAACAACAACAAGAACACCAGAGAAAATTACACCAGAAAACCAGGCAACAACAGCAAGGGCAACATAAACATCAGCTGCGAAGTGTAAAAGGCCGCCGTTTGGCAGTCTTCAGCACATTATGACGCGCTGCAGCAACGCAAACTATTTGCCTGCAGACGTGGAGACGTTGAACGCTGAAGGACGTCGACAACGACAGCGAGAACGACGACTACGACAAGCCGTCGAACTGGTCACCGCCACAAACGCAAATTTGCGCGAGGACGCGCGCATTTACAGCATGACAAATCAGCCAAATTGTAACGATATCTTCATTTCAGCGCCGATTGTAGCGACTGTAGACAACAACAACAGCAATAACCACAGCAGAAACAGTCCCAGTGCATACGGCAAGCGCATTCTTTGTGCTAGCTTCCCTTTTGCGCCAATAGCAACACTTGCAGCAGCAACAAAGTACGCTGCCACCGACGCCGGCAAGGTGAGCACATTAACGCCAACTCCCGTCTCCGCGCATTACTCCACCGCTGCAACGCAGAAACTCCACGTTAACCAAGAAGACTGTAAAATAACGCCACAAAAGCATGGTGCCACAAGAGCTGTGTCGCAGCAGTTTGCTTATGCAGCAACAGACAGCCGCGCCGATCACCAGCACCAACGAAGTCGGCATAATTTAGTCTTAAGTCGCGCTGTGCCACTTATTTGTTTGTTATTTGCGCTATTCGCACTTCCCTCGCCATGCCAGAGTCAACGTCTGTCATCGGCGAGCACTTATATCTCGCCCTCTCTCGGTCCAAGTATGTCGGACGAACTCGTAGCGCATTACAGTGTTTTGGCTTTTCCGCGTCGGCGCTCTTCTGCAGGCGCAGATGGCATCACTGGGCTTATGCAGTCTCGTGCTGTGGATACGAGCGCCCAGTTCGAGGTATTGGAGGGTCAACCGCGGGGCACGGTGGTGGGTTTTATACCGACCAAACCCGATTTCACATACCGCTTTAATGAGCCGCCTCGTGAGTTTACGCTCGATCATGTGACGGGTGAGATAAAGACAAATGTGGTGTTAGATCGTGAGGGCGTGCGGGATCGATACGACTTGGTCGTACTTTCCTCACAGCCCACCTACCCGATTGAGGTACGTATTTTGGTGTTGGATTTGAATGATAATGCGCCGGAGTTCCCGGAGCCCAGCATAGCGGTCTCGTTTTCGGAGAGTGCTGTCACCGGTACACGCCTTTTACTCGACGCTGCCACCGATCGCGATATTGGCGTGAATAGTGTAACGGACGACTATCGTATTGTGGCGGGCAATGTAGATGACAAATTTCGTTTGGCTGTGACAACGAACCCCAGCGGCGATGTGTCGTATCTGCATTTAGAGACCACGGGAAATCTGGATCGTGAAACTTGTGGATTTTACCAACTGAATATATCGGCGCGTGATGGTGGCGAGCCGCCAAAATATGGTTACTTGCTCGTTAACGTAACAATCGTCGATGTAAACGATAACCCACCGATATTTGACCACAGCGACTACATTGTCTCGCTTAACGAATCTGTGCCCCCTGGCACACCCGTGCTGCAGGTGATGGCGTCGGACAATGATTTGGGCGATAACGCAAAGATAACATATTACTTATCAGACACCGAGCAACAGTTTACCGTCGATCCAGAGACAGGCGTCATATCTACAACAGAGTTGCTGAATTGCCCGCAACAAAATTGCCAGACCTATGCACGTCCAGGCGCTAGTTGTCCAAAGAGCTGTGTATTTACAGTTTTTGCACGCGACCACGGCTCTCCACGTCAGGATGGACGCACCTATGTCACCGTTAACCTCGTAGACACCAACGATCATGATCCGGTCATACGTTTCCAATACTTTCCGCCCACCGGCACGTTTGCTACGGTGGATGAAAATGCGGCCAACGGCAGTGTAGTAGCAGCCGTGTCTGTGGTAGATATGGACGAAGGTCTCAACGGCGAGACCAGCTTACGCATCATATCCGGTAACGAGCTTGGCCACTTTCGCCTGGAGAAGACACCATCATTTGACATTGTACGCGTTAATGGCGTGTTGGATCGCGAGGAAATTGGCAAATACAATTTGACAGTTGTCGCCATCGATAAAGGCTCACCGCCGCGTACAGCCACCGCACACCTAATTATCCATGTCAACGATGTCAACGATCATGAGCCCGTCTTTGAGAAGTCTGAGTATTCGGCTGTGCTCAGCGAGTTGGCACCACCAGGCACGTATGTGGCCTCCATTACGGCGACGGACGAAGACACCGGTGTTAATGCTTTGATTTCTTATGATTTTGTGTCGGGCAACAATAAACAATGGTTTGCCATTGATCCCTCGTCCGGTTTGATAACAACGCAGTCAGCTTTGGATCGCGAAGTGCAAGACAGCGTGGAGTTGAGCATCTCCGCACGTGATGGCGGCCCAAATCCGAAGTGGGCGTACACACAACTCAAAGTGACCATACTGGATGAAAACGACGAGGCACCACAATTTTCACAACAACAAATCAATGTGACGCTGAGCGAGAATACACCACCGCAAACATTAGTTGCTATGTTAACTGCAGCCGATCACGATCAGGGCACTAACGGCTCAGTGACATACACGCTGGCGGGCAGTGTAGAGCGCAAGTATCCGAAACAATTTGCGCTCGATTCGCTCACCGGCCAATTAACGACGCGCAGTGTACTCGATCGTGAGACAATTGCGCATTATGAAATTTTTGTGATCGCACGCGATCAGGGCGCACCACCACAATCGGCCACCGCTACTGTTTATCTGCAAGTGGAGGATGTCAACGACAATAGCCCTGTATTCTATCCCAGTCATTATTTTTATGCGTTGCCTGATGATGCGGGCGACAACAACAACCATCACAATAACAATCAGCACCACAGCCAAAACCAGGTACTGTTGAAAGTCACTGCCAGCGATCGTGATGCGGGCGATAATGCCTTAATTACCTACCAACTGGAGTCAGGTGGCGATGGGCATTTCGTCGTCGATACTTGGAGTGGTGCGATAACGTTGCGCGCCGGCGGAAGCAGCGATATACGCCAGTCACCGAAAGCATTGTACAAGTTGAAGATTTCGGCAAAGGATCGCGGTGAACGGCGCAGCGAGCAAGATGCTTCGGTTGAGATTGTGTTGCAATCCAAAATGGAGTTGCTCGAGTTCGACTCATACGGCAGTTATGAGTTTCAAATTGTAGAAGATCATGGGCAAGAACAGGCGGTGGTGGGACGTGAGACGTTACGTGAGGTGGGTCGGGTTCAGGTGAAGTCACATGCTGGCAAAGCGACATTACCACCCAACATTGAGTACACGATTGTTTACGGCGATGAGGATGGGAATTTTGCAGTGGATCGCCGCACTGGTCGCATACAAACGGCGCACCGCATTGATCGTGAAGCGCTAGCGCAATATCAGCTCACTGTGATGGCGCGCACTGGGCTGGCGTATGGCAAATGCACTGTGAATGTTGCAATCGCTGATTTGAACGATAATGCGCCGATCTTTGCACAAGATCGTGACGGTGAGATACAGTTGACCGAGAACGCGGCTGTCGGTCAAGAGGTTTACTTGTCACGCGCACGTGATCGCGATTCGGGTATGAATAGCCGTATCACCTACACGCTCACCTACAATCCGGACGAGCAGTTTCGTATTAGCGAAGCAACGGGCGTACTCCAATTGCAGCGACCGGTGCGCGCCGCACCCGGTACGTTGTTACATGTCGAGTTGATGGCCACAGATGGTGGCACGCCGCCACTGTCAACGCGACACACCATCGACGTGCTCATCGCCGATGTCAATGATCATACACCTGTGTTCGATCACACATCCTACGAGACATCGTTGAGCGAGGCGACCAAGGTGAATGCGCGCTTCTTTGCGCTGGCCGCCAGTGATGCGGATTTGGGAGCAAACGGGCGTATCTCATACGACATAATCGAGGGCAATGCAGAGCGGAAATTTGGTGTCTTTCCTGATGGTTATTTATTTGTGCGCGCGCAGTTGGATCGCGAGGAACGCGACTATTACGCGCTTACAGTGGCATGCCGTGACGGCGGTGTGCCGGCGCGTTCGTCTGTGGTGCCGGTAATCATACATGTCATCGATGAAAACGACAATGCGCCACAGTTCACAAATAATACCTTCACCTTTAGCATCGCCGAGAATGAGCCGGCCGATTCGTTTGTCGGCAAGCTGACGGCGATGGATCGTGACATTGGCCGCAATGCGGAGTTGATTTATACGCTAGCAACGCAAGAGCAGGACTTTACCATTGATATGCGTAATGGTTTCATAAAGACGCTGCATCCATTCGATCGCGAAGAGTTGGTGCAGCGACGCAGCAGCGTTGGTGTAGGTGGACCAATAAGTGGGCAGACGGCGAACGGCGCACTGGTGGGCGGCTTAGGCGAAGGCATTAACAATGGCAATAACTATTTACTTTTGGAGGCCATTGTCTCGGATAATGGTGTGCAGCGCTTGCACGACAAGGTCAAGGTGAAGATAATCATTACGGATGTCAATGACAACGCGCCGCAGTTTGTACGTGCGCCATATCGAGTGCAGGTCTTAGAGAATTCTGTTGTGGGCACGCAGTTAATGCGTGTCTACTCGGTGGATGCGGATGAAGGGTTGAATGGTGACGTTTACTATTCACTGGTTGATGGAAACGAAGAGGAACGCTTTATTATGGACGATGCGACGGGTCAGTTGTCTTTGGCACGTTTACTAGATCGCGAACAACAGGCGACCTACAAGTTGACTGTTGTGGCGCGCGATGCAGGCTTAAAAGTGCAACTGAGCACGAATACTACCATCACTGTTGAGGTGTTGGACGAGAATGATGTTGCGCCTGAGTTCGCGCAGACAGCCAGTGAAGTTTCGGTACTAGAGACGAGTAGTATTGGTACTGAGCTGATGCGCTTCCGTGCAACTGACTCGGATCTGGGCGTCAACAGTCAGGTGACCTACAGCATAGCAGGTGGTAATCGTAAGGACACATTTCACATCGATGCCATCTCGGGCAGTTTGTACTTGCACAAGCCACTTGACTATGAGGAGACCACAGTTTATCATCTGAATATAACCGCAGCGGATGGCGGTACACCACGTCTATCGAACAGCATTGTTTTCACCGTGAATGTGGTGGATGAAAACGACAACCCACCCAGCTTTCCAAATACAGCTATAGTAAGACAAATAAAGGAAGGCATTGCAGTGAAAACGCCCATTGTTACAGTCACCGCCGAGGATCCGGACTCCGGTTTGAATGGCAAAGTTACCTACGCCATCACTAAGCAGGATCCCGAGCAACCCGGTGGCCGACACTTCGGCATCAATACGGTCACCGGCGTTATACATACACTACGCGAAATCGACCGCGAGAGCATCGACACCTTCCGTCTGACTGTAGTCGCCACCGATCAAGCCGAATTACCCGAACCACAACTCTCCGCTGAGAAACTGGTTACAGTGATCGTGGAGGACATCAATGACAACGCACCGAATTTCGTTTCAATGAATGCCGCCATTTTACCAATGCAAACGGCGACCGCACAGAGTCACTACTATCGCGACGGCCTGCCGGTAATGCATGTGCATGCACGCGATGCCGATTCCTCCAGTAACGGGCTGGTTACCTACGAAATGGTTAGCGGCAATACGGATTTGTTTAAACTGCATCGCAATACTGGCGCGATAACTCTGCGTAAAGTAATCGACCAGCCTGAGGTGCGTTACCAGTTGGCTCTCAAGGCCACCGATGAGGCGGTGCAGAGTGAGCGTAAAAGCACCGATGCGTACATAACGATCATAACGACGGGCACGGCGTCGGGTCCCGCTTTCGATCAGCGTGAACAGAGCGGTTCGGTGTATGAGAATGAGCCGACCGGTACGAGTATTTTGACAGTTAGTGCGCGTCTAGATGGCGCTGAAATCGAATATTACGTAACGAATGTTACGGCTGTCGGTACGCCGTGGGGCGCGAGTGCGGTGCAACAAGTCGATCGTCTCTTTGATATTGACACCAAACTAGGCATATTATCCACAGCGAAAGAGTTGGACCGTGAAGCAGGGCCGGATACCTATGAAGTGGAGGTGTACGCAATTGCATTGGGTGGTGCGCCACGCACAACGAGTACTAAGGTGAGTTATGGTATACCATTAATTATACATTATATATACATATATACCGGCGTATTCTGCGCCCACACTAGTTGAGCTGAGACACCTCCGAGTATACTTGCGTCTCTATGGAGTTCTGCAGCTGAGTAGATTACAGGTGCTTGAGTAAGGGCACGGGAAGGGGGTATATTATTGGAAAATCCCAATGGAACTCTGAAGCACCTTAGATTATTGAGCTTTATCTAGTTTCTTACGGAAACCTTTTTTGCTAATCATTTGATTTGCGAATCAAACAAGGTTGATGCGATAGGAGTACTTTACTGCACTTTATTCAGAGTATTAACCCATTGAGTCTTGTGGCGGCGTTTCAAGCATCGTTTGGGTCTCCACTAATTTGGGTTTCGATTCAGACCGTTTCGAAGTGTCATATTGAAGTGTCATTGGTCAGTCTGCTATGAAACCTTCAATAACTTCAAAAACTTACGACTTCTTTCCCCATCATGTATAATTAAGAAGCAATCAGATCAAAATTAACTTTTCACAGAAAACAATTTCAACTGCCCACATTTGGATATTCTGCCAAGGCAATTTATGCCATTCCACCCAACAATAACTACTACAAGTTGCAACTGGCAACTAACAACGTAAGCTGGACATAATTCATAAAAATAATTCTTGTACACGGTCACTCACACGCACACACACACACACACTTACACTAGAGTACACATATATACACACACTCCAATGAACACCTCTCTCTATACGAGTATACACTTGTTGCTAATATAATTGCCGGCAATAACATCATTTCTACTTAGTCGCATTTTTTTTGCTACTAAAATGGTTAAAATTATGCCGACCCAACTAACAACAACAACAATAATGACAAACAAACATTCGTTAATTAATTCATTATGCTGCGTGTGCGCTGTGTGATGACGACGACTGTGACCGCTTGTAGCATATAATGCATATAAATTCTTGTTAGTAGGAGAGGGTAGAAAAAGAGAGAGAGAAAAAAAATAAATTTTTTCTAGTAAATGAGGGGAAGATATGAAATAAAAAAACAAGAACAACAAAGAGCATGCAACGGTCAATAAAGTTGCATACATGTATACCTTATGCATATATGTAGGAAAAGTGTGTGGGGAAAAAGCATTAACAAAATATAATAAGCGCGAAATAGAGAATTAATCTACTTAAACAAATAAAATAAATAACTCAAAAAAAAAAAAAAAAACAATGACAAAAAAAATTAAAACTAAATAAAAATTAATTCAAAATTAACAAATAAAAAATTAAAAAAAAAATAGGAGGGAAATAAAATCTACAACAACCACAATAAATCGGAAACAAATAAAAGCAAAGAATTGTATAAAAATTACTAGAAGATAAAAATAAATAAAAAAGCAACAACAAAAACTACTTAAAATTAAATTGAGTGAAACGGGAGAACTACAAATAAAGTAAAAAATTAATAATAAAAAAGACGAAAAAAATTAATTTAAAATGAGTTAAATGTAAAGAAAAAATATATAAACAAAATAAAAAATATAAAAACATAATAAAAAATATATAAACAAAATTAAAAATATATAAACAAAAAATAATAAAAGAAAAATACCCAGAAGAAAAAACAAATCAAAAAATAAAACAGAACAGTAAAAAAATAATTACGCAAAAAACGACAAGATAAATAATTCGTAATAAACTATTTTAAACGGAAAAAGCCAACAAAATTGCCAAAATTATAAAATAAGTTAAAAATAAAAATAAATAAGAAAAACATTTAAAAAAAAAAGTATAAAAAAATATTTAATAAAATGTTACTAAAACTAAGAATTAAAAAAAGAAAAAAAAAATAAAAATTAATGCAAAAAATTCAATTACTAGTCATGTAAAGAAATTGTAACAAAAAATTGCTGAAAGATTTTTAACAAAGAAACAAAAAATTTAAAGCTTAAATTTATATAAATGAAAAATATATAAATATTACTTATAATATTCCCATTAAAATCAAATATAAATGTAAAAAAATTACCACAAGAAAATGCAACAAGAAATAAAAATTATAAAAAAATAATATAAAATATATTGAAAAGTAACAAAAACAAATATACAAATCCAAATTAAAACAAAAAATACAAATAGAGATAGGGCAAAATAATAATAAACAAAACAAACAGTAAATAAAAATTCCAAATCAAGGTGAAAATGTCATATCATATAATTGCTTGTTCTTCCTTCCATTTCAAAAAACTACACAAACCAAATGCATGAAAAATAGGTTTTGTCATTTCAAACGTTCGCTTACACAAACAAAATACATTGAACGGTTTTCGTTTTTAATTTTTTGAAACTATGATTACACAAACAAAAAACATAAGCATTTTGTTTTTGTATTCTTGCTACAACCGTGTGCGATTTTGCCTTGGTAGAAATATTAAAAAAAAAAAAAACAAATACCAAAAAACAAAGATAAAAAATAAATACAGTTTTTTTTAAAAAGAAAGCGAAAATAAAAAGCATTCAAACTAGTACAAAAAAAACTAATATTTGAAAAATATAAGTAAAAATTTTTCATAAAAAAAAACAAAAATATGTACAATCTCAAGAGAAAGAAATTATAAAGAAAATTTAAAAAGCAATAAAAAGAGAAAAGTAAATTTTTTCAGAATCAAAAAGAAATAAATATTCTAAAATATTCAATATTTTTTTATATACATATATTATTACGGAATTTTTTCGGATTTTTTATTACTTTTATTTAACCTTTTTAATTTTATTTATGACATTTTGTTGTTTTATTTTTAAGTTTAAATTAAAAAAATTTCTAAAATAATTAAATTATTCAATGGTCAATATGCGCAAAGATATATGTTAGCGAGAATATCAAATGAAACAACAACAAAAACAACCAGCAGTCAGACAGCCTGCTTACCGCATTAGCAGAAGCGAATGTAAAACTCAGAACCGCAAATGAACAAAAAACGTACGCACACCTTTAAATAGAAGACCGGCATATGTGCATATATATACGATTTCTTCTTCCCCATTTTCTTCTTCTTGCACTTTGCTTTAATTCTTTGTTTCGCTTTTAGTAAGTTGGCTATAAATTCTAGCAAGCAGCTATAAACATTTAAGACCCTACAAATTGTAATTTGCACGCACCGTATGCGAACGCATGAAACGCGTCACAACTCAATTCTTTTTCAATGCACAACAACACACATACACAACTACAGGCATATATACAAGCATGCATACGTTTGCAAGCAGACAACTGCCAAGGCAAGTGAAAAAAATGACTTTGAAAAGCAATACACAAACACACACACACACACACACACATACACATCACTGCTCGTATATTTTCAATACAGAATGACAACTATTAAGTTGCACGTTTGCGCACCGGTGTGTGTGCTGCAAGTGCTTTTGCATAGTCACAGTGCACTTTCCTACGCAGCGTGTTGGCGTTGCGCTTTAGTATGGCAATCAAATTCGCCAGAAATCATAATAAATTCCAATGTGACGCTAACAAACAACATAGACGCATAATTAGAATTGCAACAATATTATTATGCGCACTCACACACGTACACGCATTTGCACACATACGCACACATGCATAGCAATGTACTCAAGCATATCTAATCGCGCTGCGTTTGTCGCGACATTTCTACTAAGCAAATAGCTTTGACTTTGGTTGGCACTTGTTATTTCACTACCAATTCCATTACCGTCATTGCAGCCTGCCAAATAAGCAACAACAGCAGGAGCGAGGAAATGGAAAAGAAAAGCAAATAGAAAACAAAAGCAATGGTAAAAGCCATAGCGCAACAGCTTCATCTGCAACTTGGCGTTTTTTTCCCATTCACTTTTTCACATACAAACTGACTGCAACAGCTTTTTCATACTCCAACTGCCGCTGCACAGTGGTGTGAGACTACAATTTTTTTTTGTTGAAAACTTCAAAGCATTAAAAAATTTTATTTTTAATTTTATTATGTTGATTTTGGGCTTGTAAATAAGTAGAGAAATTACAATTGGCAAGATTGTTTGACTTCGAAGATCTTTTCACAAAAAACTGATTTAATAAACTCAAAAAGAGAAATATTCAGAACTTCGAGAAGCTATAGAAGTGACGTGTCAGCATTCAGAATGTTTAAAAACAAGTAATTAACCATTTTCTAAAACTAAAAGTAAACGAAAAAGAATAAATTAGTTTAATTTCTAGCTTACATGCTAAACAAATCCTCGAAAACTCTTATATACCGATACCGAAAAAACTTATGACTTCGAAAGTTTCCTGTTATAGTACTAAAGGTGTGAAAGGCTTAGTTTGTAATACGAGACTTGAAAGAAAGCAAGTAAAATAGCAATTAAAAGTCATTGTTTTTAAGGGAATTCGTCATGGGTATATATAAATTAAATATAAAAAATTTATTTTTCCAAAAANAGAAAGCAAGTAAAATAGCAATTAAAAGTCATTGTTTTTAAGGGAATTCGTCATGGGTATATATAAATTAAATATAAAAACTAGGTTCGTAGTCTTGGCATGACAACAAAAACCAGCAAACAGAGACATTTCTCATCAGACAAAAAAAAAAAAAAAAAAAAAAAAAAAAAAAAATTAACCTAAAAATGTATTAAAATCTGGCAGTGATGTTCCACGGCTTTGAAATCTTGCCTATATATATTCTTATGTATATTAATACAAACATTAGTGTCTATAAGTCTTATTAAAAGTTCCCCAAAAGTGGTGCGATTATTCCAAAACAATTCTAACCTTAAAAATTCGAAAACCTATTTTATGAGTGCAAACATATTCTTAAAACACATGCGTGACATGCTAACTTAACCTAAAAAATTGTTAAGAAATCTGTGTGTGTCTTAATAAAAATTCACGTACGAAATTGAAAAACAAATAAAAAATTCAAAGCAAAAAAAAAAAAAATATGAAAATAAATAAAAAGAAATACGAAAATATAAAATATAACAAATATCAAAAAAAA